AGCACCTCGCGTCCCATCCAGAGGGGAAATGCTTGTGCATACTTGGTTCAGTCCAGCCTCGGGGAGCGGGAAAAAATTTCATGATCTTTGATACATTGTCCCATTGTTTTTATTTTTGTTTTTTCTGTAAATGTTTTTGTTTATTAATAAAGTTCAATAGAATAAAAAAAAAAAAATATATATTATATATATTATTTATTTATATTAATTATAGTTTTTTATATTTATATATTATATATATAATATATATATATTATATGAAAAATATGTAAATTATATTGTAAATTGTGAATATTTTTGTTCCCTAGGCTCAGAGACCTTGGTCATGGGGAAAGAGTGCTTTAAAAATTTCCCCTTAAGGAGCGGGGGGAAAAAAGGACTAAAAGGGTAATAGGGATCCCGGGCACTGTTTTCTGTTCCAGCGGCTCAGTGCGGTTTTAAAGGGGTAAGCCTGCTGTTTTTTTGGGCAACGCCCCGCTCGGGAGCTGGATGAGATTTTCGCCTTATAACGGTGATAAAACGTAACAACTGTACCCTTTTATGCCCCCTTTATTCTTAAGGATCTCTTAAACTTCTGTCCCTATTTTGAAAAAAATATTCCCCTTTTGGGAAAAAAAATAAACTAAAAAAATGGGGTGGTAGGGGAAGTGGAAATATTAAACGGTTCAGAAGAAATCCAAAAAATTCTTCCTTGAAGTTTTTATGCACTTCTCGAGGCTATGGGTCCCAAATTTTTCCCAGGGTGGCCCCCCTCCTTTTATATTTATATTATTCTTTCAACAACAAAAAACCGGCCCACCCCCGAGGCAGGGTGGCCCAAAAGGAAAAACGAAAGTTTTTTCATTTTACATTTAGTAATATTACAGGGAAGAGGTTACTAGCCCCCTTTCTCCCGGGTTTTAGTGCCCTTTCAACAACATGGCTTTCGGAGGAAGAATCTGTTCCATTTCCCCATGGGGTAGGAGAAAAAACAACAAGAACAAAAAATAGTAAGAAAATATTAAAAAACCCCAGAGGGGTGTTTTTAAAAATTATGCTTGTACATGTGGTAGTGTGGCCTAAGTGTAAGTAGAAGTAGCAAGACATCCCTGAAATCTTGCTGTTTATGAGACAAAAAAAATGGACACCAGCAATCCCACCCATCAGTAAAACAATTACAGGCTTCCGTTTTACACTCATTTGGGCCCAGGACGGTGTACCTCCTGGGTGGTTGCTGTCTCCCAAACCCAAACCCCTATAATTTTAATAATATATATATATATAAAATTATATTATATATATATTTTATATATAATATATATATATATATAATTTATAATATATACATTTATATATATTTATATATATATATATAATATATATATATATATATATATATATAAATGTTATAAAATATATATTATATATATATAACATATTTATATATATTTATATTTATATATATATATATAATATATATATATAAATGTATATATTATATATATTATATATTATAACATTTTATATATATATATATATTTATACTATATTATATATTATATATGTATTTATATTATATTTTATATATTATTATATATTATTATATATGTTTTTTATATATATATATAATATTATATATATATATTTTATATATAAAATATATAATATATATGTATTTATATATTTATATATTTTATATTATACATATATATATACATTACTTTTAATATATATATTATATATTATATATATAAATATATATATATATATATTTATATTATATATAAAATATTTTTATATTATATATATAATATATATATATATATATATAATTCATATATATATATTATATATATTTTATATATATATATATATATATTATAAAAATATATTTATATATTTTATATATATTATATATATATATATATTATATCATTATATATATATTATATATATATATAATATTATAATGTATATATATTATATATATTATATTTTTATAATATATATACCTGGACCTGGGAGTTTACCTGGAGAGAGTTCGGGGATAAAACGCCCCCGCGGCCCGGTCTTTGACCAGCCTCCTGGTGGATCAGAGCCTGATCAACCAGGCTGTTGCTGCTGGCTGCACGCAAACCAACGTACGAGCCACAGCCGGCTGATCAGGAACCGACTTTAGGTGCTTGTCCAGTGCCAGCTTGAAGATTCCAGGGGTCTGTTGGTAATCCCCTTATGTATGCTGGGAGGCAGTTGAACAGTCTCGGGCCCCTGACAAATTAAATGTATGGTCTCTTAACGTGCTGTGACACCCCTGCTTTTCAAATTGGGGGGATGTTGCATCGTCTGCCAAGTCTTTTGCTTTGTAGTGAGTAATTTTCGTGTGCAAGTTCGGTAATAGTCCTCTAGGATTTTCCAGGTGTATAAATCATGTATCTCTCCCCTGCGTTCAGGGAATACAGGTTTAGGAACCCCCAAGCGCTCCCAGTAATTAAGGTGTTTTATCTCCGTTATGCACGCCGTGAAGGTTCTCTGTTTCATTTTCTAGGTCAGCAATTTCACCTGCCTTGAAAGGTGCTGTTTTGTGTGCAGCAATATTCCAGCCTAGATAGAACAAGTGACCTGAAGAGTGTCATCATGGGTTTGGCCTCCCTAGTTTTGAAGGTTCTCATTATCCATCCTGTCATTTTCTAGCAGATGCGATTGATACAATGTTATTATCCTTGAAGGTGAGATCCTCCGACATGATCACTCCAGGTCTTTGACGTTGGTGTTTCGCTCTAATTTGTGGCCAGAATTTGTTTTGTACTTGATGAAGATTTAATTTCCTCGTGTTTACCCTATCTGAGTAATTGAAATTTCTCATCGTTGAACTTCATATTGTTTTTCTGCAGCCCACTGGAAAGTTTCGGTTGATGTCCGCCTGGAGCCTTGCAGTGTCTTGCAATGGAAGACCCCTGTCATGCAGATTCGGGTGTCATCTGCATAGGAAGACACGGTGCTGTGGCTTACATCCTTGTCTATGTCGGATATGAGGATGAGGAACAAGATGGGAGCGAGTACTGTGCCTTGGGGAACAGAGCTTTTCCCGTAGCTGCCTCGGACTTTACTCTGTTGACGACTACTCTCTGTGTTCTGTTAGTGAGGAAATTATAGATCCATCGACCGACTTTTCCTGTTATTCCCTTTTAGCACGCATTTTGTGCGCTATTACGCCATGGTCACACTTGTCGAAGGCTTTTGCAAAGTCTGTATATATTACATCTGCATTCTTTTTGTCTTTAGTGCATTTAGGACCTTGTCGTAGTGATCCAATAGTTGAGACAGACAGGAGCGACCTGTTCTAAACCCATGTTGCCCTGGGTTGTGTAACTGATGGGTTTCTAGATGGGTGGTGATCTTGCTTCTTAGGACCCTTTCAAAGATTTTTATGATATGGGATGTTAGTGGGTATTGGTCTGTAGTTCTTTGCTGTTGCTTTACTGCCCCCTTTGTGGAGTGGGGCTTTTGTCTGTTTTTTTAGTAACTGTGGGACGACCCCCGTGTCCATGCTCCCTTCCATTGGATTTAAAAGGCTCGTGATAGGGACTTCTTGCAGTTCTTGATTTAACACGGAGTTCCATGAGTCTGGCCCTGGGGCAGAGTGCATGGGCATGTCATTTATCGCCTGTTCGAAGTCATTTTTGGGGTCAGGATAACATCGGATAGGCATGTGTTAATCAAATTTTGTGGCTCATAAAAAAATCATTTTGATCTTCGACTCTCAGTCTGGGTTTGCGGCTTGCTAAAAAACTGAGTCATATTGGGACTTGAGTAGCTCACTCATTTCCTTGCTGTCATCTGTGTAGAACCCATCTTGTTTAAGTAAGGGGCCCAATACTGGACGTTGTTCTCGACTTTGATTTGGCATAGGAGAAGAAATACTTTGGGTTTCTTTCGATTTCATTTATGGCTTTTAGTTCTTCCCGCGATTCCTGACTCCTATAAGATTCCTTTAACTTAGTTCGTGCTTGTATTTCTCTGCCAGTGTCCCCTACGCATTTCAGATTTTTGACCTCTTTTAGCCGCTCTTTTTATTTTTTTTCCGTCGCCTGTAAAGGGAGCGCCTGTCTTCTCATTTTAATTTCTCCCCTTTTTCTTAAAGGAATAAGCCTTGTGCATACATCATTTGCCACAAGTTAATCTGTTCTGGGCATAATTTGGGGGTCTGTTTTGCTTAGTTATCTTCCCAGCTTATATCGGTTGGACTTGGTTTATTGGTCCCCTTTTTTTTTGTTATTAAATTTAAATTATATAATATATATTATATATTATATTATATTTTATATATATATATATATATATATATATATATTTTATATATATATATTTTTATAAAATTTTTATATATACATTTTTTATATATTATGAAATTAATATTATATTATTATATATTATATTAATTATTTTAAAATTTTTATATATTATTTTTAATATATTTTAATTTTTTATATATATTTATATATTTATATATATAATATAAAATTCTACCAAATTTCGTCCTTTTTCAAAAAATTTTTGTTTTTTTTATAATGGATATATCCGAACGGTAATTTATTCATGTCCGCATTCATAAATCCACTTTTATATAGCTATGTAGAAAGTACCAAAAATTTTAATTTTGTAAAAAGACACCATCCCTTTTTAAAACGTGCTAATTCGTTCATGAAAATGGTCTGTACTACTCTGTTTACTATGCTTGAGTTGCCAGATATTTCTGCCCAGGAGAGTGTGTCCAGGAACTATTTTCCGCAACTGTATCTTAGGGCAGGTTATCTTTGAATATAAAGTGGCAGCGTATTTGTCATTGAGACACACACTTGAGAGATTATCATCACCACTTGAAGATGATTTAACTGATCGATTGATAGCACACTCAGCTCATAAACCATACCATGGGTGGGGTTAGAAGCCGCGATCATAGAGTCTCAAAACTCTTAAGTTTTGAAAGTCTCTGATCGCGGGTTCTAACCTAACCCGTGGTTTGGTTTGTTTGCAATCGTGACATTACGATTTCATGAGTCACTCATCTCATACACTGAGTGTCTGCGGTTCGATAACCGCTACAGGTGTAAACACCGAACATGTTTCCTTACACCTGCGGCCCCTGTTCACCTAACAGTTAGTAGGTACCTGGGTGTTAGTTGAATGTTGTGGGCAATATACGTTAGAGAGTGCTAGGCTTTGTAATGGACTGAGTTACGGTAACAGCTTTTAGTCTGTAAAGCTGATTTATGTAAAGCAAAAGATAAGACATTGATAACATTCTCTTACAAGCTTCAGTGTATGGTGAACCAGTGAAGGTGGGTCCTGTGTTACAAGAGTGTCACTAATGCTAAGACCCGCGTCAGGAAACTCTTGCCCTGTTTCCTGACGAACCTAACCTAACCTAACCTAACTAGTAGGTAAGGTTATGCAGGACAGGTAAGTGATCTGATTCTTTGATAATGGATGTGTTGTTGTCTTTAACTTTTACGCTGTCACCCCTGCGTCACCATAGGTGTTGCCTGGCCAGTACAGTGGTGAGGTTGTACCTCAGTAGTACACTACCAGTACTAGCGTTACCTTAAACAGCTTGATTTTTCCCAATTCCAGCAGCATGAAGCTGAAGTGACTGTTATGGGAGGAGTGGATGGTATTGAACTGGAAAATGGTGAAAGATCTGAAACATTTAGAAGAACTCTAAAACAAAAATGGTTTTCAAAATAAGTTTGAAGCAAGAAATAGAAAGGGCGACAAGAGCCTCCCACAACTGTCATGCTAGATTTCCCTGCCAACACTGTTACAGAGGTTAAGTTTAAATGGTTTTACGAAGCTAAAGACAATCCAGAGAAGATAAAGCTTCGTTGTGGTGAGGACAACTTTGTCTTTATCATTAATAATCAAGCATTTGTAGACAAACTTCTCACTCACAAATATGCTAATATCAAACTTCAAGCTGCACCAAATATGCTTATTGTCATCGACAATGTCAACAATTTGGACCCCAAATTCCTGGTGTCGGATCGAATTGCAAGTCCTTGTCAGCTTCCCAACGATTGATATTAGATAAATGAACTGGCCAGGGGACTCCGATATCTTACATTCATTCTCGTGCAGCACTTAATAGGCGCTACACATTGCCTTGTACAGACTACCCCACCGTCGATGCTACGGTGTGCAGTATGTGCAAAGGTTCATCCTTCTCAACTATGTTATATGATCGAAAAACATCAGACTGATGCAGTAAAATGTATCACTTGTAAGACCTCAGGGGTTATGTAGCTCGTGTTGACTGCAACCAGCCGCTGGGCTCCCACCTCAACCTTCACCCCCTCCATAATGAGGTCCTAGGCCTACCAGATACCTCGAGTCTGAATAGTGGTTCATGCCTGACTTCAGACAATGGGGTTGAACAAGCAATCTGGGGAAACATCACCTCAGTTCCGTGTCTGCCTCTCACAATAGTGATGCAGATTGTGTTGATACCACTCGCCAAGCTGAATCAGCAGTCAGGGAGCCGCCGGGCTCAGTTGACCGGGGCTTCATGCTCCAGGTGAGGCAAGTCTTGCTCTAGTATACAACCTCTAGTTGCGCATGTCGGTACTGGAGAAGCAACAATTGTGCCTGGAACAAAAACATGAGCAAGGTAAGGAAAAATGCATAGTGTGTGCCAATGAGTACATCAATAAGATTGTCACGATAATGACGAATACAATAGATGTGTCGATAATTAGTGAACGTAATAGCCAGGGTAGCGGTGTCTATAATGATATTAATGGTGATGAGTGGTGCTGAATGTGGTGAGGATGACCAGGTTGATGTTAATGTTGAATGTAATAGTGGTGATAAATAAAGTGAATATAATGAGGGTAGTGGTGTCGGTGATGACTGTAATAGTGATGTTTGTAAAGACAGTGGAGAGGAGAATGTGAGTGGTAGTTCCACCTGTCATACATTCACAGATCAACAGCATTGTGCCGTCTATAGGCAAAAACTCCCACGAGGCCTCCGGATTGGAAGTAGACTTAACAGACTGTTGATAATGATAATGTGAGCCATTTATTTAGTAAGATTTCTTATTATGCCGAGGAACTAATATCCCAGTACTTCTATAATGGACCAAAACTCGTATAAATTTTCTATTTTAAGTTGGAATATTGCATCACTTAGAATAAGATTTCCTGACCTTCTCAATAAAGCAACTACTGAAAGCATTGATGTTGTGTCTACAAGAGTGCAGATTCCCTAAAAAATCCCATTTCCCTAAACTACCTTCATTTGTTACATATAACCTCAAATCAACAAACTCTTGTGTTCTGTATATTAAAAATAAATTCCCCGCCAATTTCTTGCAAATTAGTAAACAGAGAAGCTTCAATATCATGGTGTTAGAATTTAAATTGGGAGCTCTGCTTCAACATATTTAACTTGTATGTTCCTGCTGACAAGTTTAATTAATTACTTGGAGCTCCCAACTTGTGCTCAGTCTGAACCTAATCTTATTATTGGAGATTATAATGCAAGACACAAAAGCACTGGGAACTCACAATTTGCTAATCTTAATGGTAAACAACTTTAGTTACTCATAGTCATGATAATGTGCAAAATATAGGCGATCTTGATCCCACACATATCTATGGAGGCATCCTTGATCTGAGTCATGGCTTTAGCATTACTTTTGGAAGCTAAGATTTTTTCCATTATAACATATATCATAGATCATTTCCCAAGGTTAACCTCTCTAGGCACTGGTAGTGTTGTCCTCCCTGGTGGTGGGATATTCAAACTGAAAATCTTTCATGTTCCCCTTGATCAGCATGATGATTTTGTCGCACATTTTACAGTGGTATAATTCCTATGAATATTCCTCTGTTGAGACCTTTAACACTGATCTCGTAAGCAATATTCAGAACTATTTAGGACTGCCACTGAAACCTGGTACCCCAAACCAAGCTAACTTCCATATTAATCATACCTCCTATAAAAATCATACCTACTACAATGATCCTAAACTTTGAACATTGAAATGCACTGCTTGTAGACTATGCCTAGCGTATAGAAGATATCGTACCCATAAGTGCTGAAGCTCTTTCAAACTGCCGTTGGTGCTGCCAGCGAGCGTATGGCAGAGCTTCCGCAAACAGGCTGGGAAAAATTTGTCGTGGTCTCAATCCTCACAGATCTGTTCACACTTGTCCTGTTTTCTGACAAACATTTTACCTACCAGAACTAGTCAAACTGCGCATCCTCATCCCCTATACAGGGTGAATGAATTAGTGTTTGGGCTGCTGCATCTAGCTATGACAATCTTCCCAGTACCACACAGGCGAAATTAACGGACAAACATAATGCAAGAGAAAGACTGATTTGTTCTGTGCTCAGCAAGGAAGATGACTGTAACATTCCTTTCACTAACACTGAGCTCAGTGCAGCACTAAGAGCAACTCCACGTCGCCTGGGAAGGATGGTATTACTTACAACATACTCAAATTGCTATGTCGAGTACCAGGTAATCCTTTACTTGAATTACACAACATAAGCTATGTAACTGGGGAGCTCCCTAAATCTTGGATCAACAGCCTCATTTCCTTCACCATTCCTTCCACTTTTCTATTCCTGCCTGTCTCCCTATACTTCAGTGCTTCAAGTGACTAAGATTTGATCACTTGAAGGCAACTTGCACTAAGACTCAGGTCTGTTCTAAGTTCACTTTTACTGGTCACGTGTGGACAAAATGCGCTAATCCTCTTGAGTGCATTAATTGTTCACACCCTCATAATGCTACTTCTTCTCAATGTCCTACACGTAAGGAATACGTCCTTTCCTTACATAAGGACAATCCTATTAACCTACCCAATCCTACTTCAAGCTTGCCTTCACAGTCATCATATTCTAACTCTGTTCCAACCATACCTCCTTCATCTACCTCAACTACCTCTGCTCCTCGCTCTGCCACGTCTTCCTCCTCCACATCTTCCTCACCCACTTCTTCCTCTACTAAATACAAACTTGTCTTCTGTGATCTCAACCAACACTGCCGCCATTATTAAGACAATAGTGCTGTCGGCTACCCGTCTAACGAAGGCTTTCCACATTGATTTTCCTACTCTCCTCAACTCTCTGTGAGTAAGATAAGATAAGATAAGATTTCGTTCGGATTTTTAACCCCGGAGGGTTAGCCACCCAGGATAACCCAAGAAAGTCAGTGCGTCATCGAGGACTGTCTAACTTATTTCCATTGGGGTCCTTAATCTTGTCCCCCAGGATGCGACCCACACCAGTCGACTAACGCCCAGGTACCTATTTGCTGCTAGGTGAACAGGACAATAGGTGTAAGGAAACGTGTCGGAATTTTCACCCGCCGGGAATCGAACCCGGGCCCTCCGTGTGTGAAGCGGGAGTTTTAGCCACCAGACCACCGGGCCACAACCTTCCAATTATTACATTCCCTTCTGATTTCTCTCTACTGCTGCTACACTTGAAAACAACACTGTTGATCGTGTTAACAACCGCCTACAATGTCTGCTTCAACACAACCTGTGTCCACTCCTACTCCTCCACCCTAAATACCCTTCCAACCTCTACCACTGAAAAACCTAGGCCACCTTCAGCCTCATCTCGCTCATCAAAATCACTTCCCCTAACTCATAAATCACGCTCTACTCCCAAACGGAAATCTTGCAATTCATCTCCTGACAAATCAAAAGATCAAGAAATTGCAAGTCTTGCAAACACGATGAAACCCCTCACTCCTGCTCTTCTCCCTCACTTCTTTTCTCCCTCGCCAAAACGCCAACGCTCTAGTAAGCTCTATACAATACACAAGACAGCAGACGGTATACTCCAAATGGGACCCAATGATAAGCTGAAATAAAAATATTCCCAGATACATCCAACACCCCACAACATGCCTCTAAAAGTCACACCATCCAACATACGTGCATATATCACAAACAAACACACTCGTTGAACTTGTTGTGTCTGAACGCCCAGATATGCTATTACTGAACGGCATGTGTGCACAGGATGCTCAACGAGTCAGACACTTTGTTATACAGCTCGACAGTCCCCTGCTGATCCCTGGAATAGCTTAGTTGTTCCGGTAAACAGCGCTGTAAAACAAGAATTCCTCTCTCCTCTATGCTCACGATATGGATGTGAAAATATAGACACAACATTGTCCAATCATCATTTACACAACATACATTCGTCCTAACACATAGATATACTATATCGCTCTTCTTTTCGACCACACCAATCCTCCTGTATACCTCCTTGCAGAATTAGATGCAAAACACACTGCCTTCCATGACATTTACACTAACCAACATGGAAGACAGTTATTCCAACTTGTCTAATAGAAACACTTTGTTCACCTTGGTCCACACTTCAACACCATTTTCTCACATAGGCCAGGGTAAACCTGACATAGTCATTACAGAGCCAGTAATCACCTTCATCACTTCATATTACCTGGTCCTCTTTCAGGCTCTGATCACATTACTATCACCCGTCATATTTATTCAAATCTCACACTCATTCCCATCAACTCCGCTCCAGCTTACTTACAAATAGACTGGGACGTGTTCCAATTCCTTGACCACATTGACCTTACACACAATTATAACAGCAGACTTATTTCAGACATAAACACACAACTTGAACGTAAATATTCTATCACACAAACTGCTGAGAAAGCAGTGCCCAAAAGACACTACAAAACACTACAGAACAAAACGCCTGCTCTTATGCTATCAACACCTTTTCAACACTAACCAAAACAGACTCAACCTATTTCGCCGGGATCTCTATAATGTGGATGCACATCATCCGCAGTCTGGAGGAGGACCACAACAGATATTAACACTCACTGATACGGCTGATAGTAAGCTGTTTTGATTCAATCACTAATGTCACTTAAACTTTTTCAAGCTGAATCATACCTTACGAAAATGTCAGTTAATATATATAATTCAAAACCGCATAAACAACTCATTGCGATTGTAACCAGATATAAACTTCTAAATAGTTAATTTCCACTAACTTTTTTACCTGTCAAAACTTTGGGGCCCTGTCCCTCGACCCATTATGTGCCTGTAATATTTGGGCTAAAGCCCACAGAATGTGTAAGGGGTGCATAATAAATTTGAAACTAATTAATGTATACAACTCTCATCTCTTAGGTCGAGACCCAAGATGTTTCTGACGTATGATAGAATATCCCGTGTACTGCTGTGTGGGCTTCTGAGTGTGGTTCCCGGTGCCTTGCTGCACGCCCTGGGAGTCTTCTCCTGCTGTGCGGGCTTCCTGGTGACCTGGTTCTTCTCTTCTGCTATCTACCTGGCTCTGGCTACTCTGAAGGTTAGTGCTTCACTAGCCTTGTAACCTGGCACCTCTCTTCTGCCACATGTAACACTGACTGCCCTCAAAGTCAGTGTTTCACGTGAATAGATGTGAGCCTGATGCGGGCTGGTGCCCATAATAGGCAAACATCCACCGTCGCCCAAAAACACACAAGTCGGATTTTCCCTTGAGACCCATAATGCCAGGAAAAGGCTGTATACCACATAAAATAGAAGGAGTTTTGGACCATAAGTCAGTTTCACCCGCGACCCTCGGGGGATCTTATCGCAAGACACTACTGTTAAAAATAGAAAAGAAATGGCCAGCTTGGACGTGACTTGTCTCAAGACTACTCACTGGTCAGATAATCTCCTTTCTACAAAATCACGACAACACTCTCTTGAACTTCTCGCTACCTAAGCTTGATTTTATCAGCTCAGCATAAGCAAATGTCAGCTTTAATATCTTTCTATGGGAACATTCACTACCAGCAGAAGTTTAGGTTAGCACTGGGATCATCCCTATATGCTGTCCCGGCAAACCTGTACCAGGAACACCTGGACAGGGACAGGTTTTGTGATATTATACCATACTTATCATGATATTCCTCCACGTGTGATTATTCTCTGCAAACACAAAGCCAAAGGGGCAAACCACAACGCCAAGAGCCGAGAAAACAACACACTGCAATGGAACCCACAGGTACCATTGCAGAAACTGTCGTATATAAACCCAGGACTGATGGTGCTGTAGTCACTACATTTATAGGGACCTTCACAATGATCTCAATGCCATACACCTTTCCCAAAAATGCAGGGGCACTCAGAATTCAACATGGGAGTTGTGGCCAGATATATAACTGTGAGATAGAGGTAAGACAGCACCAGTAACGTATGTGTACAACATCACGACTCATATTGACAAGGTTGAACTACTGTATCAGGAACACGGCACACTTGAGAAGCTGTATGACCCTAGTGGGTTTAGCGCTTCTTTTTTATTATAATAATGATACATCAAATTATCGGTTATTAAATGAATACCAATAAACAAAACAGTGCGGGGAAATTTTACAGCATCCGCTTCTCTTAAGAGTTCCTTCAAGGACATCCAGATATCTTCTAGCTCAGAGGTTCCCAACCTTTCCCTAGGAAAAGTTTGATTAATTTTGTACCCCCTACAAAAGTAATATCACATTTGAATATGAAGAAGTCAAATTTCTAATTTTTTAATAAAAATTTGAACCCAATACAGTACTGCGGGTGAACAAATTGAACTCAAAAAAATAAGCTTTTTATTCAGTGTATAAAATGCAAATACAAAATGACCAATGAGAAAAGTTTTTGGTAAAATAAACGGAATTCTGCAATTTTCATTAAGACCCTTTTTCGCACTCCCTGAAATGCTATCTCGCACCCCCTGGGGGTGCGCGCACCCCCTGGAGGTGCTTGCACCCCAGGTTGGGAACCCCTGAGGTACTAGCTAGTCCGGGCTAGTCAGCTAGTTGTAGCTAATCAGTGACCAGTCACTTGTTTAACACTGCAGATTTATTGTAAATTTGCGGATGCACTAATGTTATGTATTTATCACTGTTTTGTTATACTATTCCCTCATTTTTTAAACATTTCATTACAGCTCACACGCACTAAGTGAGTGAGCTGTAATGAACTTCCAGAGTATAAATCTTTCCGTTCTGTTGCAGCGACTGTCATTGAAAATATAGGTTCCAAATGTGATGAACGTTCATCCAAAGGAGCACTGTTGTAGCACTGTTGTAGCACTGTTGTAGCACTGTTGTAGCACTGTTCGACCACTCAGGGAGGCAAGTAGATCTATGCTTTACTCAGTATTTCCTACACAGGTAACGCCATCAGGAAAGGCTGTGTTGATCACCGGCTGTGACACTGGGTTCGGTCATGCTCTAGCTCTCCACCTTCACAAGCAGGTCAGTTCTTCTTGATCTCGTAATCTCAGCCACAACATAGTAACTAATGTACATTATGACACCTGGATGCAGCACAAGCCTCTATTTTAAACTATGTTTCTACTCACGAGTGAGTTTAATCAAGTTTTCATGACGCTTATGAGTAACACGCTGTCTATAGTATAAGTTTGCTATGGAGTGTCGCTGTGACGTGTGCCTAATACGTTCATCACACAACTGTGTCTTGCATTCCTTCCATGCCATCCAAACTGGCAATAAGGACGGAGTAGCTGCAGAGGGGCCCCGGCTATTCTGATTTTCTGTCAGGCTTATACATGAACCAATTAGGTGAGAGCTTGCTCCCCAGCCAAATTTATGTTAGATTTCCACACCTGGCTGGGGGTAGACTCGCCGAGGCTGGTCAGGTACACACACACATTGGTCTATCTTGTATGGGGTGAAAATCCAATTCCAGTGAGAGAGCTCGCTTTTCTCTCTCACTCATTAACATCTTATTGCTCTGTAGCGCTTTGTATGTATTGTAAATATTGGTGGAGGAAATGTATGGGTACTCGTGTTTGCCTTTGCCTCCATTATTTACATGAGGATTATTTCTTGTCCATAGACTTGATATACGGCCAGGTACGATATATATTTATTATATATATATATATATATATATATATATATATATATATATATATATACATGTATATATATATATATATATATATATATATATATATATATATATATATATATATATATATATATATATATATATATAGTGTGTGTGTGTATGTGTGTGTGTTGTATTGTTGTATTTCCATGTTATTTTAACGACTGCATATAGCTCTCAGGAACTTTTTCAAACTAATAATAATAATTAATAATAATAATCTTTCCAGGGCTTCAAGGTGTTGGCAGGATGCCTGGACGAGAACGGGGAAGGTGCAGAGCGTCTACGTCACTCAAAGAGTAGCAACCGCCTCCATGTGGTGCAAATGGATATTAGCAGTCAGGAACAACTAGCCAAGGCACTCAAGAAAGTGAAGAGCCTCTTAAGGCCCAAGGGTGAGCTACTCTCGTTATTATATCTTACGGGAATAAGTGAAAAATGAATTTAAAATTATTCACAGTTGACAAGATCCGAAAGATTTCTGTGGCCGAGAATGATGGACTTAAAATTGATATAATCCTGTTCAGGTATTTTATTTATATATCTGGCCCTCCAGTGTGGTCTTAATGACAGATAGTGTGGGGTCTTGGTACCTCTTCTCTCCCACTAAGGTCGGGTGACCCACGGAAGGAAAACATTCATCATTCATTCAGCAGCTGTCCTGCCAGAAATGCGCGTACATCACATTAAAAATGACCATCCAAAATGCAGTATCTTCACTCGCCTTTTGCTTAAAGGGCACTGTACCTCCCACCTCCAGGACTCAAGTCCGGCTAACTGGCGTAACCCTCTCAGTCCCTTCATAAATATTACTTGGCTCGTACTTCAACAGCACACCAGATCCTTAAACCACTTGTCTCTACTCACTCCGCTCTAACACGCTTATACATGCATATTACATTATTTTCATTAGTAATAGTTGTAATAGTTAATGTGATAATAGTATTAAAGGTAGTAGTGTAGTATTATTAATATTATTTATTATTTATAATAAAAACAAAGTATTATTGCTATGTAATAACCATCATAAGATCAAACATGATGTATATTTAGGCAACCTTTTTCTCAATCATTTGTTTGACGGCGTGTGTGTGTGGCGCTCATCAGAGGTGCTGTGGGGACTGGTCAACAACGCTGCCATCAACACACATGGTGCTGTGGAGTGGGTCGCTATAGACACGTACCGCAAGATCTGTAACGTGAATCTTTTTGGCACCATCGCTGTGACCAAGACCTTTCTGCCTCTCATCAGGCAGGCCAGGGGTGAGCACACACGAAGTGTTGGAGACTAAAATGCTGGGAGCAGGGGCTAGTAACACCTTCTGTATACATTACTAAATTTCGTTTTTCTTTTTTTATGTCACCCTGCCTCGGTAAGATATAGCCGGTTTGTTGAAAAATGCACTTTCGTGATTTCTCACATTATCAAGGAGCTATATGAATATAGTTCGTTGATAATGTGAGAAATCACGAAAGCGCTTGGAATTTCACTATTTTTTCAGTGGTGAATATATATATATATATATTATATATATATATATAGTATATATAAACAACACTGCGACTAGCCAAGGACTTGAACTCATGCTACTTTGGCCTGCCTCATGGTGGGCGAAAACTCATGACGCATTAATCTACTGGACCATACAATCCAGTGGATTAAGGCGTCATGAGTTTTCGTCCACCATGAGGCAGGCCAAAGCAGCATAGGTTCGAGTCCTTGGCTAGTCGCAGTGTTGTTATTGATCAATACCACTCGTTCGTGGGCACAATAATATATATATATAATATATATATATATATATATATATATATATATATATATATATATATATATATATATATATATATATATATATATAATATATTATATTATTTATTTTATTATCACACCGGCCGATTCCACCAAGGCAGGGTGGCCCGAAAAAGAAAAACTTTCACCATCATTCACTCCATCACTGTCTTGCCAGAAGGGTGCTTTAACTACAGTTTTTAAACTGCAAACATAACACCCCTCCTTCAGAGTGCATATTATATATAATTATATATAATATATATATATATATATATTATATATTATTAATATAATAATAAGATACAGGTGTATAATACTTGTATCTTTATTATTAATTATGATAAAGACAACCAATTTTTACCAATGTCATATTCATTATTGTATTACTAGTAGTTTAATGGGTAAAAAAATTACCAAAATTATGGTGACATTAAAAATACTCATATATAAGCAAGTCTTAATTTTTAAGTCGCTCCACTGACAGGTGAGATTTTTCCTTATGAAAGTTTACCGGTGAGTGAAAATTGTCTGATCTACCGTGTATGATGTGTGTTGATGTGTGTTGATGTGTGTTGATGTCACAGGTCGGGTGGTAAACATCGGGAGCGTCAGGGGCCGCCTGCCCACGCCTCTAGGATCAGCTTACGACATTGCCAAGTACGGCATTGAGGGCTTCAACGCCGATCTCAGGTAAGTCTTGGGTGGATAGGGGTCAAAGACCCGTCTAGGATCGAGGAAAAGTGGGTGGCGTTCAGGTCTGTTCTGTTCACCACCCTTCTAAAATCCCAGAACTACTTTCGGGCAACTACTTGTTGCCCGAATCCGGTAGATGTATTGTAGCAACCCTTCTGGTGTTCTAGGTGTTCTACCTATCACTCTGGTACCTTAGAACCTCTCTACGTCTTGACTGTGCAACCAGCTCACCCCACGATGCAACACTTCATGGATCGTTTGCACTGCATAAGACAGGATAGTTCAAAGCTTTCTTCTGACAGACCTCGACAAATGAACGCTGAGGCTGAAGCTGTCAATCGCTCACTCTTAAAAAAAAGAAATCTTAAATATGTCTCCCCTTCCTTCTGACTGTGCAACCAGCTCACCCCACGATGCAACACTTCATGGATCGTTTGCACTGCATAAGACAGGATAGTTCAAAGCTTTCTTCTGACAGACCTCGACAAATGAACGCTGAGGCTGAAGCTGTCAATCGCTCACTCTTAAAAAAAAGAAATCTTAAATATGTCTCCCCTTCCTTCTGGTTTAAGCCTTTAAACTAAAACAAAAGGTAACAAAATTCTTGACCCTCCCACACAACTTGACTTGAAATGGCATAATTTATTGACCAAGCCGTCGGGAAAGTGCTTTTGACCAAACCATACCACGGGTGGGGTTTGAACTCGCGGTCAGAGAGTCTCAAAACTCCGTCACTCATGCACCAGCAGACACTTGGGACATTTCACTATGGAAACATTTCGTTCTTGGTACCATGTTCACTCCATACATAAACATAGGTCTATATAGGGAATGATCAGGCGTCCATATATATAGTGAACAAGGTCCCTGGACCGAAACGATTCCATAATAAAATTTTCCGAGTGTTTGCTCACGTGGCTTTAACCACAACTTGTTGATATTATTAACCAGGTTTGCACATCTCACTGGATGCTGTAAAAAAGTGGCGGGTGCATCATCAGTGACGCTCACCTGGCCACCAAAATGACAGATGACCTGGTCACTGTTATTTACTCTTTACCAGCAGCAATACCCAATGATTCACATGGGTTTAATTACACACACACACACACACACACACACGCACGCGCGGCGCGCTTGGACTTTCACTATTTTTCACAGTGGTTGTTCCGTATATATATATTTATGAATAATTCACATTCAACAGTACGGGAAAAAACAGTAATATTTATTCTAATTAGAGACCTTCCATATGTATGTATATTAACTCAGTGGCCGTCACCCCATAATGCAACATCCTCCCTACCACTGCTTCAGAGTGTAGATACTGTATGTCCTTTCCATCTCCAGGACTCAAGTCCGAATAATCGGTGTTCTTGAATTCCTTCACAAACGTTATTTTTTGTACTCTCTGCATTGCATTTATCAGTGCTGCGGGGATCATCTAGCTTGAGTTCCACGTTTCTCCATCCACAGGAACGAAATGAGGAGGTTCGGTGTCAACGTCTCTCTCATAGAACCCGGCAACTATACTGCAGGTGAAGTTCTCTAGATCAGTTATTACACTTAGTGGGACGTGGACCACTTACCATTGTGACAATGGCATGTAGAATGATATGTATTTGGCAATGACAATGGCGTTGACAGAGAACACTAGACCAATAAAAATCCAGCCGTAGTTCATTTTTTAGCAAATGTACATTTCACATACAAAAAAAAAAGATGTAGATATGATATAATTTCATCTTTTTTAGCAATCCTTACGTAAGGTTCCTGATCAAAGATTTATTGTATAATATTTTGTGATGTGAAGTGACGTATGCATTCTCAGCTTAAATGTGACATATACGCATTGTAAATAAGTTAAATGTTTTTAGTTTCGTAGTGGCTTTCCGTCCCTCTGCCCAATTTTAAAACCTTGCGGTCCAGTCTCTGGACCCATTGTGTACCTCTGCAGTGGAAATATAAACACAAATGCAGTATAATGTGATCCTTTATTGACAACGTTTCACCCACACAGTGGGCTTTTTCAAGTCATACACGGATCTACCTGGGGTTGGAAGGTACGAGGGTATTTATAGTCATGTTCAGAATGTTGAGGTCAGGTGGAGAATGCTGCATCTGACCTCAACATTCTGAACATGACTATAAATACCCTCGTACCTTCCAACCCCAGGTAGATCCGTGTATGACTTGAAAAAGCCCACTGTGTGGGTGAAACGTTGTCAATAAAGGATCACATTATACTGCATTTGTGTTTATATTTCCATTGTGTCGGTATTTTATACCATTTATTTCCACCGTACCTCTGCAGTCTTTTGACTCTCCCACAGGATGGGTATAAAGTGCTTAATAATGATATTTAACTAACTGCCCCAATTCACACAGAATATACACGTATTTGCGGTAATGTGCACGCATCGCGAGGCACAAGGAAGTCAACAACATCAAGAAGAACCTAAAAAAAACCATACCAACCGGCGGGGATAGAACCCCCAATCAAAGAGTTATAAAACTCCAGACCGACGCGTTAGCCACTGGGCCAGCTAGCCACAATATAATTCATCCAACTAGGTATATACCTAGATGAATGAATCTTATTGTAGCCAGCTGCCCCAGTGGCTAACGCGTCGGTCTGGAGTTTTATGACTCTGACTGGGGGTTCTATCCCCGCCCGTGGTTTGGTTTGTTTGCAATCGTGTCATTACAGCTTCGTGAGTCAACGCCTAGATTCCTAGCATCCATCATATCTCAAATAATCCAGCTGACCGCTCCGACGGGATCGTAATCTATCCCTGAAGCAACGGGAGACTCTTAACATAGGACTGAACCTGTGTGTGTGTCGACTTTGGCTGACACCTAAATCCGTCAAAGCGTTCGGCAACAGGGAAGTGCTGCTGATCATAGGGAGTCCAAACTCGGCAAATATAGGGACTTGGGCCATCAGTACCAATTTGTTCAAGTGGGATCGAAAACCCATGGGACCATGGGAAAAGCGTGCAGCAGGCTTCCTCAAAGAGCTAGGTTCCAGGCTCACTGACATCACTAATGACAAAAGGGCAGCCTCAGTGTGGCCAGCAAGAGGAAGAATGCCTATTGCATTCTCGGCTCTTGTCCATCTACAGAGCTGGAGGAGATTCATAATCTCATTTCGTATGTTGTTCTATTATATACAAGTTTGTGCCTTTTAAATAATTTCTTATATGCTATGTATATGAGTGTGTGTGTGTTATAATGAGAGTTGTAACTGTTACTGTTTCCGGCCCCACTTTACTCGACACTCACGTCTATGACTGTATTTTTACTGTTATGAGTTTGGCTCCTAACTACCAGAACACACATCTGCACGACCACTACCAACTTCTGTACTAGCACCTACACCATCATAGTCTTCACCACCAACAACAACAACACCCACAACAACACGTCCTCAACCACAAGCACAACCCCATCACCAATCATCACTACCATCATCTCCACTCTCAGTATCTCCTCCCCAGGAACCAACATACTGACGGCTCGAGACGTACATCACTACGAGAAGAGTATGTGGGCAGAAATGGACCAGGAAGTGAAAGATGCATATGGCAAGGACTTCTTCGACCAGGCTATTCAATTTCACCTTAGTTGCGCATGCTCTGGGGTAAGTCTGGCTCACACAACTCTATACTCTGATACATTCACCTCTTTGCCTTATTTATAAGCATTTCTTTTTCCACTGCTGCCACTTTCTATTTTTCATCTAAAAAGTGTAAGTGTAATGCCGAGAAGCGTAGGTATGAAGACTTTTTTTTGTCATTGTTACTCATACGTAATACAGCAGTTTTCAATTATACCCATTATTCATTTATTCAGACTTCTATAGTAAATATATTCACCACTCACTATAAGCTAAGGATGAAAATATTTTAAGGAAAGTAATGTGTGTACTGTACTGTAAATGCATTTTTAAGGCCTAGCTATATGATAGTGTACTGTGTTATCAGGCTTTTATGTGCATTTAAAAATGAAAAAAAAAGGCTATGACTCACTTTACAGCAATATTCACTTTACAGCAGTAGCCCAGAACCTAACCTGCTGTATAAGTGGGGCCCTCCTGTATTCATTCCCAAGCATGTAAATATACTTTCTATATACAACCCGTCCTTCCATCGAAGCATCGAAGCTTGTCTCCAGCCCCATTGAGGTTGTGCTTTCCCACCTGGCTGAGCGGCAGACACTAACGCTGGTCGAATACACTCATACACACTGGTCTATCTTAAGGTGTAAAACCAACTGTAGAGAGTAGCTCTTTGTTCTCTCACTCATTGTTATTTTCCTGATAACATACACTTTACATACTGGGCCTGCTGCAGTGTTCCTTCTTTATATGTTCTTATGAATATCTTGGTAGAGGGAATATTCAGAGATTAAAACGTACCCTATTGTTTACCTCGGCTATTATTTGCCCGAAGATAGTTCCTTATCTGGAGAAGTGGTTTATAGTCAGTTGCAATAGGTCTTTCAGCGTACTTGTGTTCGTAATGCTGATATTATGCCTCTGAGGCGTCTAGGTTAATACTTCAGTTGGTGATACTGTTACCCTGAGGAATTTGAGACATTTAGGATGGATACCAAGGTGGTCCCCGATCATCCAAAATAATGAAAAATATGTCAATCAACACGAATATTCAGATATCATTTTTTGTGTTCATACTGAGAGCATAATCTCATATAAATCGTATATCCCACACAGCTATCATCTTTACCACAGTGTTGTCAGGGACAGGCACACCCACCTACCCAACGTCCGTTAGGTTAGGAAAGAAGGAAAGTGAACTAGATAGTTTCTTAAGGCATCATTTATTTTTGGCCATATTCAGAGAATATTAACTATACATTTTGCCACGTACTAATAGATGTCACTCAACTAGATAATATAATATGATCAATATTAACTGACATTCATTTGTAAACAGAGAAGTATGTGATTCAATATGTTATCATTACACTATTAATGATCCTTGCAAAAAATCCTCTGCCTATAACAGTATATATATCTACTCACAGTTAAGGTCACCTCTTCTAATGCCATGAGAGCAAACTAGGCTATAGGCTTTCGCCTGGCACAGTAACATTACACCTTTTCCCCTAACATAAAACTAGTAAATGAGAAATTAATGAACTAAATCCTCCATAATATCTTTCTCCATGATCTTCATACTTATCATAAGTTTAACTCTATACATCATCCTTGGTCATATAGTTAAAAAACAAACTCGTATCCTCCTTATTTGTAAACTAGAGTAAAGATGGGCAGATACACAGTCATGTGTGTCAGGCAGTGTTCATCACTGTTGCCCCTCAAGGTAGGTTAAGTAAGTAAGTAAGTAAGTAAGTTTATTCAGGTATACACAAATACAGTTACATAGAATTATCATACATAGCAGCATATGTGTAGGGAACCTAGGATAACCCAAAAAAGTCAGACAGAGTGACTTATTTCCATTGGGGTTCTTTCATACTGGTGAGGAACTTTTGATCTAGGGAATTAAGCCTGAATATTCGCCTTCCAACCCCCTCCCCCACAAGCATTGTATAATCTGTACGGGTTTGGAGCTCCCCATCATAATCACTGTTGAAGTTACAACAGATCAATTCCAGGAACTCAGGTGTAACCCAAACGTCCTGAGCTAAAGGGACACAAGAGTTTTGGCAAGCTCCATCCCCCACCCAAATTTCACTGGATCTAGGTCTTAAGATTTCTCATCCAAAGCAGCCCCCCCCTATGCATGCCAAAAAATGAGCCCTCTTAGTGTTTTTTATTGAATATTTCAGGGCTTGTTATAAAGTTTTAAGCCGTCGAAAACGACATGCAAATTTTCGCCCTTGTGATCCACATTATATAGTGGATATCTGATACTAAGCAAACACTAGGACCCAGGACCGAAATGTTTATATATATATATATATATATATATATATATATATATATATATATATATATATATAATATTATTATATGTTATGTGTGTGTGTGTGTGTGTGTCCTAGTGTTTGTTCACGTGTCCTTTCAAACCAATTTGTTGGCATTGCAAAAAAAAAGTATCTAGTACAGTTGGCATCCTCTCAAAGATACGTTATGTACCACAAACAGCACTACTTAAATTATACCATTCATTGATTTACCCCTACCTCACATACGTTATTTGTGCTTGGGGATCCACGATAGGAAATCACCTCAAGCCAATAAATTCTAATATTAATCATGACCTGAAGCACTTCCTTGATTGTTGCAACAGAACCCGTAGGCATAATACTAGACACAAAAATCTCTGTGACATACCCCGTGTCCGGATTAATTTCGCTCTAAAACTACTTACTATTAACCTTACTGTATTTTTCGGCAATCCTTAGTCTCTCAAAACTGAACTCTCAGCTTGCTGTTATACATCCTCTTTCCTTTCCTGTTGTCTTGGCAAAGTCAATCAACCTCTGTTGTGATTTTAGGTGAACCTAATAACTATGCTGTTTCGCTCAGAACCCCGATGTGAGTGAGGTGATCTATGCGATGACGGAGGCCCTGACGCAGCAGTTCCCACAGTCTCGCTACCAGCCAATGGACATCTTCCTGTACCTAATGGTGTTCATTTCCCAGCACTTTCCAGAATGGGTCTACGACTACCTCTTCATCGAGTTCCTTTTCAAGAAGGGCTTCTAACTTCAGCTGTCATATACGTGTATGGCTGTGAGAGTGACCTAGGTAGTCATATCTGCACAAATAATCCACACATAAGAGGATGAAACGACGACGTATCGGTCTGACTTGGACCATCAACTCTGTGTAATTAATTTGTGGTCCAAATCGGACCGAAATATCGTCATAAGTTTCATTCTTCTTTGTGTGGGTTATATGTGTAATGTTCCAGTCACGGTATTGTGACCTAAAACGCTTTCTTGATAGTTGTGACAGGATCCACAGGCATAACACCAGACACAAACATCTCTATGACATTCCCCGTGTTCGACTAAATCTTTACAAAAATTAAGTGTATTTCAAAGGACCTAAAATCTGGAACACCCTACCTGAAAACTCTAGAACTGCAGACACATTCATCACTTTCAAAACTACAGTTAGAAAACATCTTATCTCCCTGATCCACCCCGACAACTAACTACATGATACCCACCTGGTGGTTCAAAATTACACTCACTCACCCACTGACTATAAACCCAGAAATACTACCTAATCTTTAAAAAATATCCTAACTAGTCATAAGTTTGCCTATGTTACTCAAATATAGACACCTTGTATTGTGCCAAAAGCATTCACTTTGCTAAACTCAAAATTATGATGTAGTCACTTAGCCTTAATGCTATAATCTGTAAGGACTTAATGTTAAGAATTAATCTAAGTCTGCTCGAAATGCCTACCATGCTAGGTGTCCTAGTGGCCCCCTCTGTAATTAGTATTTTCTAACAAGTAAGCCACAAAATACCCAAAACCTGTAAACCCCACATTGTAACCATTATAGAGAATAAACTTGAATTGAATTGAATTTGAAGATTGAGACACTTATGCAGCATATGGGAATCTTTATTCAGGAAACGTTTCGCCACACAGTGGCTTCATCAGTCCATTACAAAGAGGAAGGCGTAAGGAGAGGAGGAGTATGAGGTAATCAGTCCCTCAGCCTGGAGTCGATGTGTTCAGTCCATCAATCTTGTAGAGTGTACAGCATAGGGCCGTAGACGTGGCTTATATACTGTAGTGAGGTGACTTGAAGCAGGTGGAGGCGGGATCATAGTGGTACCATCCACTAGTCGAAGTAGGTCTTTGTCCAAAGGTTGAACAAGCGTTGAAGAATTCTTTGTAAGAAGATCCCATGATGCTGCAGTGTCTGACAGTTGTGATGATTGGTTTGAAAAACCGAATTTGTTGTCTAAGCACTTTGTAAATGTCAGTTACTACTTACCCTGACAAGACACTGCGATAAGGGGACCTGAACCAACACATCATTTATCTGATTCCTTCTGTACCTAATATTTCTTTCTTTATCATATCCTGTATTACATTAACAAAGCTCTACTGAGCGAAACGTTTCCAAATAAAAACACTTGTGTTAGTTCGTTCTCTCCTGCTCTATGGTATTACCCTTGTTTCCTCGGTGATTATCCATTCTTTTTATTTATTACAGACTAGGTACAACAATAAATAATACTGATAAGTGTAAAAAAGACATATGTAAACTAGGTAGCTTTATTTTGGAAACTTTTCGCATGAGATAAAACACCTCAATTACTGGGAGCGCTTGAAGTTCCTGAGCCTGTACTCCCTGGAACGCAGGCGGGAGAGATACATGATTATATACACCTGGAAAATCCTAGAGGGACCAGTACCAAACTTGCACACGAAAATCACTCACTACGAAAGCAAAAGACTTGGCAGACGATGCAACATCCCCCCAATGAAAATTATTATTATTATTATAATCAAAAAGAAGCGCTAAGCCCCCCCCCCAATGAAAAGCAGGGGTGTCACTAGCACGTTAAGAGACCATACAATAAGTGTCAGGGGCCCGAGGACTGTTCAACTGCCTCCCAGCATACATAAGGGGGATTACCAACAGATCCCTGGCAGTCTTCAAGTTGGCACTGGACAAGCACCTAAAGTCAGTTCCTGATCAGCCGGGCTGTGGCTCGTACGCTGGATTGCGTGCAGCCAGCAGTAGCAGCCTGGTTGATCAGGCTCTGATCCACTATGAGGCCTGGTCAAAGACCGGGCCTCGGGGGCGTTGGCCCCCGGAACTCTCTCCAGGTAAACTCCAGGTAACAGGCGAAACGTTACCTAACTTTGCGTATGTATCATTTTTAAATATGCGTACACAATAATTACTTGCCCCTTTACTATAAGCTTCCGTCTGGTATTTACAGAATCAATTGACTTCCATCCATCTACTTTCATTATCTGTTTGTAAATAAAGAAGCCTGATTGCTCGGCAAAATACAGAGGCAACAACAGAAGTGGAGATTATTATTATAATCATGGGAGAGAGCTAAACCATAGGAATATACAGCACATGTGGGGGAGGGGATGGAAGGCATTCAGGCTCAATTCAGCGGAACTGGAGCACAGATCCAATTCCCTAGATCAAGAGCCCCTCACCAGCGTCAAGGAACCTCCCTTGAGGGGAGAAGTGGAGATGTACTCGATGCAAGATGTTAGTCTCACATTGCTCTACATAACCATGGGATTTCTACATGCATTCCCCTCAAGGAAGGTTCCTTGATGCTGGTGAGGGGCTCTTGATCTAGGGAATTGGATCTGTGCTCCAGTTCCCTGAATTAAGCCTGAATACCTTCCACATCCTCCCACAGGCGCTGTATAATCCTACGGGTTTAGCGCTTCCCCTTGATTATAATAATCTAAATGCATTATCAGGTGTCACCCATTTCTGTACAATGTATATTGTGGAAATAAATTTTGAATTTGTATTTTTACATTATTATTATTATAATCAAGGGGAAGCGCTAAACCCGGAGGATTATACAGCGCCTGGGGGGGGATGTGGAAGGCATTCAGGCTTAATTCGGGGAACTGGAGCACAGATCCAATTCCCTAAATCAAGAGCCCCTCACCAACATCAAGGAACCTTCCTTGAGGGGTGTATTTTTACAATAATGTTTTACAAAACCGATAAGTAAATAAGACATACGTGCAACTCAAGCTGGACTGTACACATCTTTACCTTTCTACTGCTTCTGCTGTCTCCAAATCCGCAAATACGGGAGACATATGACTCCTATACAAGTGTACCAAGATTCTGTTGTTGATGTGCCAGACAGATATGGTAATAAGAATACAGTACCGCTAATATGATGAACAAGACACATGTGCAACACCAGGTTTTCGATTTTGAGCAACGTAACTTGTTTTTTGAGAAATTTAGGGAAACTGGATAGCCGGACAAGTCCTGGAGGTAGTAGGTACAGGACGGGCACTCTGGAGGACGGGTGGGGATGTTGCAATTTGGATGATCATCTGAATTGTGATGTCATCACTCTTCTAGCAAGACGGTGATTGAATTAATGCGTTTCCCTTTTTCGGGGGTTATCCTTCCTCGGTGGGAGACGGCCGGTGCTAAAATTTATTATTATAATCATGGGGGAGCACATATGGAGGGGGGGATGGAAGGCATTCAGGCTCAATACAGGGAACTGGAGCAGATCCAATTCCCTAGATCAAGAGCCCCTTACCAGCATCAAGGAACCTCCCTTGAGGGGAGTGCTAAAAAGATATTGTTTCTATTTATCATTGTTGTTTTTATTATTAATTAAATCTATTATTATTTATTGTGATAAGCGCTAAACCCGTGGGGTAAGTTAGTTTATTTAGATATACACAAATACAGTCACATAGATTATCATACATAGCAGCATATGAGTAGAGAACCTGGGATAACCCAAAAAAAGTCACAGTGCCTGGGTAATTAAGTAAGTAAGTTTATTCAGGTATACACAAATACAGTTACATAGAATTATCATACATAGCAGCATATGTGTAGAGAACCTGTGATAACCCGAAAAAGTCACAGTGCCTGGGTAATTAAGTAAGTAAGTAAGTTTATTCAGGTATAGACAAATACAGTTACATAGAATTATCATACATAGCAGCATATGTGTAGAGAACCTAGGATAACCCAAAAAAGTCAGACAGAGTGACTTATTTCCATTGGGGGACAATCAGCTTCCATCCAAGAAAGGGGAGAGCAACTTCAATTCCTTGGATCAAGAATCCCCTCACGAACATGAAGGAACCTCCTACGAGGGGTTCTATTCTTACGAACTTAATTAAGTTCTAAGTAGTCAAGGTGACATTAGAGGAGAAGGAGCCTTCAAAGGTCGCCAGGACGACCTCTGCTAGCCAGCTGTACGATACCTGCCACAATACCCCAACCCCTCTAATATTTACCTTATATATATTTAGGGTAACAAATATCGAAGCCTCCTATCACAAAGATGTTGCCAGATCTCCGGAAAAATATATATAGAACGCTGGTGTATACGATAATGCGAAGAGTTGAGTTTGTCACGTCCGGTGCAGACGACGCTCGACCAGCTGATCAACTGTTTTGGGGAATTTTCTGCCAGTGCAGGGAATATTATTATTCTCATGAAGTTATCATTAATTTAGGATTAGTAAGTAAGTTTATTCAGGTATACACAAATACATTTACTTAGATTATCATACATAGCAGCATATGTGTAAAGAACCCAGGATAACCCCAAAAAAAGTCGCAGTGACTTATTTCCATTGGGGTCAAAATTTAAATTATTTATAGTAGTCTTGAGGGTAATCAGGTGTTGTATGTGTGATTATAATATATATATATATATATATATATATATATTATATATATATATATATATATATATATATATATATATAATATATCACCACCCATCTAGATACTCATCAGTTCCACAACCCAGGGCAACATGGGTTTAAAGCAGGTCGCTCCTGTCTGTCCCAACTACTGGACCACTACGACAAGGTCCTGGATGCTCTAGAAGACAAACAGAATGCAGATATAATATACACAAAATTTGAAAAAGTCTTTGATAAGTGTGACCATGGTGTAATAGCACACAAAATGCGTAATAAAGGAATAACAGGAAAAGTCGGTAGATGGATCTATAATTTCCTCACAAACAGAATACAAAGAGTAGTAGTTAACAGAGTAAAGTCTGAGGCGGCTACGGTGAAAAGCTCTGTTCCACAAAGCACAGTACTCGCCCCCATCTTGTTTCTCATCCTCATATCTGACATAGACAGGAATATAAGCCACAGCGCCATGTCTTCCTTTGTAGATGACACCCGAATTTGCATGACTGTCCTCCACTGAAGACACTGCAAGACTCAGGCGGACATCAAGAAAATCTTTAAACGGGCCAAAGAAAACAATATGAAGTTCAATGATGAGAAATTCCAATTACTCCGATATGGAAAACACGAGGAAATTAAAATTTCATCGGAATATAAAACAAATTCCAACCACACAATAGAGCGAAAAACTTATGTCAAAGACCTGGGAGTGATCATGTCAGAGGACCTCACCTTCAAGGACCATAACATTGTATCAATCGCATCTGCTAGAAAAATGACAGGATGGATAATGAGAACCTTCAAAACCAGGGATGCCAAGCCCATGATGACACTCTTCAGGTCGCTTGTTCTATCTAGGCTGGAATATTGCTGCACACTAACAGCACCTGTCAAGGTAGGTGAAATTGCTGACCTAGAAAATGTACCGAGAACCTTCACGGCACGCATAACTGAGATAAAACACCTCAATTACTGGGAGCACTTGAAGTTCCTCAACCTGTACTCCCTGGAACGCAGGCGGGAGAGATACATGATTATATACACCTGGAAAATCCTAGAAGAACTAGCACCAAACTTGCACACGAAAATCACTCCCTACGAAAGCAAAAGACTCGGCAACATCTCCCCAATGAAAAGCAGGGGTGTCACTAGCACGTTAAGAGAATACAATAAGTGTCAGGAGCCCAAGACTGTTCAGCTGCCTCCCAGCATACATAAGGGAGATTACCAATAGACCCCTGGCTGTCTTCAAGAAGGCACTGGACAAGCACCTAAAGTCAGTACCTGACCAGCCGGGTTGTGGTTCATACGTTGGATTACGTGCGGCCAGTAGTAACAGCCTGGTTGATCAGACTCTGATCCACCATGAAGCCTAGTCACAGACCGGGCCGCGGGGGCGTTGACCCCCGGAACTCTCCAGGTATACCCGAGGTATACGATATTTTGCAATGGCCTTGTGGGTACACATATTTCGGGCTTAATATACAGTACATTATGCATATTTAACCTAGTATAATACAATTAGGTTAATAAGTAAGTAAATACATCTATAATCTAAAAGGACTATGACCTGTTTTTTTCATGCACTGAAACACGTTTTATTCAAGTTCCTTACACAATTTTTACATTTTTTCTAAACCCGTATTGTGTTGACATAGTCGATCTATTATATTTTGTTAACTTTCTGATATGCTGCAACATGAGAGGCATCCAGAGTGATGAATTATGACAGGAAAACCATCGTTGTGGCGAAATTTGTCTGGTAAAAGTATGTCTCTTGCTCAAACCTTGTAAAATGTCAGAGATGACTGTACTTGTGTAATAGTAGGCTTTTAGGTTTCATTTAAACTTTTACACTGGTCTTACAGGGGAAATTATGTGGAATTGAAGCTTGAGAGAACCCAACAGATTCAAATAATGTGAGGGTTTAGCACATAGTTGTGATTATGTATTCAGTTTCTAATTAAAACAACTGTATGATTTAATGGCAGAGTTGCAGTCTGAACCAGTAATGAGACTTTGTACTTATGTGTAGAACTTTTAAAACAATTAAAATTCAACTTTTTATTTTTGTATATGCTGTACAAAGGTAATGTAATAGAGAACACGAGAATATTGAATACGTACATAGGTATTTTTTAATACGTAGGGATAATTTAGGGAAATATTCTGGGGTGGTAACTGGGGTGGGGAAGAACCAGCAGCCGGTGAGTGAGGACCAGCTAGGACGGACGTCATCTCTCACGCTCTTCTGACTTATTTGACATTTAACGATTAACAATGGCGTTGAACAAGCTCAGCATCGACAAGTTGAATCTCTCTGGTAAAAGGGTATTAATGAGGTGAGTGGAACCGCTTATAAATTACGTTTATGTACGAGAAAAGAGGGAACTGGTAGTGCCTGGTTGCTATGCCACCCTGAGTATTTATGCCATAAACATGGCACTGGTGACAAGAATTTCTCGTTGACATTACTGAAAATAGTTTATAAATGGTATTGACTTGGGTTTACGGTGATAATTAAAACCTAACAAAGGGATTCGACAGCGTTCTTCAGAGTAGCGATTCCTGACGCCGGTACAGGGCTCTTCATCTAGGAAAATTGAGCAACCCATCAGTTTCCTGGATCAGATCTTTTGCCTCCCATACCTCAGGAGCTGTATGACCCTTATTGGGTATGACCCTTATTGGGTCATATCCAATTGGGCCATCTTCCAGGAAGCAAGCTTCTTGGATGATGGCCTGATCAGTCAGGCTGTTTGACCAAGTACTGACTTCAGGAGCTTATCCAGTTTTACCAAAAGACAGACAGGGCTCTGGTAGTAATTTCCCTTATATACAAAAGAAATGTGTTAAGCCTTGTGCCATTTACACTTATCTCTTAGGGTACTGGTTGTACTCCTACTTTTTTTTTTTTTAAAGTGGGGGATTATTTTGCACCATCGCTGAGTCTTTTGTTTTCGTAGGAAGTTTGATATCACGGGTAAATGTCTCAAATGGCTTTTATCTCTTGTAGTGTGATAAGGCCCAGTACTACGACACATTTCACATACATTCCACTGTTTCCCATTAATAAAGGGTGACAGTATTTGTATACTATCATGCAAGGTCAATGTTTACTTTAGATTTTGCTTCCTGAATTTTGGATGGTCAGTTAACTCAATTGGAGTGGGTAGGGGATTCATATGGAGTAATCAAAATTCCAGACACTAATGGAAAAACAACTAGCTAAAAACTCATTTTATTACTGTAGTGCAAACAATATATTAAATATTGCAGATGTAGATGTATGTGTGTTTACAGTGATAGAAGGCTGGAGATATTTTTTACAATCACTTACAACTTTCTTGTTTTACAGAGTGGATTTCAACGTACCCCAGAAAGACGGCAAAATCACCAATAATCAGCGTATCGTTGCTGCTCTAGACAGCATCAAATATGCACTTGAACAGAAGGCGAAGAGCGTTGTCCTCTGCTCTCACTTGGGCAGGCCTGATGGTAACTTGTCAAATATTACACACTTGATGGTACCATGTTAGGGTTATTCTGTATATACATTTTTATTTTTTAACACTTCCACCTGTACAAATTGTTTTCTCCATAATTTTTGCTCCAGGGTATCATACTTAGAGAAAATTTTGAATAATGGAAATCTAAAATTTGTCTTGTTCCAAAAGCTTGTTAAAAAATTGTGATTAGCAGTATTTTTTTTTTTTTGTTTAGATGTCCAGAATTCAGAATTATCTTTTAGGGGAAAACAATTATTCTGTGTAATAAAAGTCCAAGTTAGTGATTGTCTTAAATTTTGGTTGGATTTACTGTCAAAATTAAAAATTTTATACAACATTCTCAAATGATTTAGATAAAGAAAAATTGGATATCAAATTGGGGAGGAAGAGTATGGAAGAAGTGAATGTTTTCAGATATTTGGGAGTTGACGTATCAGTGGATGGATTTATGAAGGATGAGGTTAATCATAGAACTGATGAAAGAAAAAAAGGTGAGTGGTGCATTGAGGTATATGTGGAGGCAAAATATGTTATCTATGGAGGCAAAGAAGGGAATGTATGAAAGTATAGTAGTACCAACACTCTTATATGGGTGTGAAGCTTGGGTTGTAAATGCTGCAGCAAGGAGGCAGTGGAGATGTCCTGTCTAAGAGCAATGTGTGGTGTAAATATTATGCAGAAAATTCGGAGAAAGTGTGGAGTTAATAAAAGGATAGTCAGAGGGCTGAAGAGGGTTTGTTGAGGTGGTTTGGTCATTTAGAGAGATTGGATCAAAGTAGATTGACATGGAGAGCGTATAAATCTGTAGGGGAAGGAAGGCAGGGTAGGGGCCGTCCTCGAAAAGGTTGGAGGAAGGGGGTAAAGGTGGTGGTGTGGGCGAGGGGTTTGGACTTCCAGCAAGCGTGCATGAGCGTTAGATAGGAGTGAATGGAGACAAATGGTATTTGGGACCTGACAATCTGTTGGAGTGTGAGCAGGGTAATATTTAGTGAAGGAATTCAGGGAAACCGTTATTTTATATAACCTGACTTGAGTCCTGGAAATGGGAAGTACAATGCCTGCATTCTAAAGGAGGGGTTTGGGATATTGGCAGTTTGGAGAGAGATATTGTGTATTTTTATATGTATATACTTCTAAACTGTTGTATACTGGGCACTTCTGCAAAAACAGTGATTGTGTGAGTGAGGTGAAAGTGTTGAATGATGAAAGTATTTTCTTTTTGGGGATTTTCTTTCTCTTTGGGTCACCCTGCCTCGGTGGGAGACGGCCGACTTGTTGAAAAGAAAAAAAAAAAATCTTATTTGGGGAAATTCCACATTAATTTAGAAAACTAACAAAAATGTTAATTTTCTAAATCTTGACTTTTTTTTTTTTTTTTTTTTTTTTTTTTTTTATTCAAATTACACTTTCTAAGTTTGAGAGAATTTCAAATAGAGAGAAGCTACTTTATTGCACAATATATAAACCAAGTAAAAAAGAAAAACTAGTTGTCAATTTATTCAGTTTCCTGGAATTTTATAATTGTTGAAGTAAATTGGTGAAGATATCAGCTGGCATGAAACAAATCAAATCAGCGATTTGAGTTGTCTAGTATCTGATACTAGACAACTCAAATCACTGATTTTGTGCCCAGAGAATTTATTGGTGGACAATCACTGAAATCAGCTTTTCTGTTTAATGCCAGTGGGTTGATTCATACTCCCTGTACAGGAAACGGTAAATTATGTTAAATTATCTGAATTCTCTTAAATTCTTTCAGTATTTTCACGCAATGCTTAAATACTTTTCATTACTACACAGCTACAAATGTTGAAATCTTCATTTTGACTTATTGTAGATACATAACAGTAACTTGTACTGCACTTGTACGGTGGAACCTTTTCGTATGCCATAGTTTGTATGTAAAACTATAGTTTTCCTCTATAAAATGTATTTTTTGTTAATATTTCCCATAAGAAATAATGTAAATCCAATTAATCTGTTCCAGACACCCAAAAATATTAACAAAAAAAATACATTTTATAGAGAATAGCTATAGTTTTACATACGAACTAGGGCATACGAAAACCGAGGTTCCACTGTACGTATTATATTTTATGCTGAATTTTCAGTTTGTTAATCTTTCATGAGGACTCAGGAAATCAGTGACACGATTGCAAACAAACCATACCATGGGCATGGCTAGCTGGCCCAGTGGCTAACACGTTGGTCTGGAGTTTTATGACTGATCGTGGGTTCTAACCCCGCCCATGGTGTGATTTCTTTCATGATGCAGATAAATATATTTCTAATTATATTTTACTAGCTGCAGTTTAAGATTTTGCAAGCAGTTCTTGGTGAGTCTTGTATTTGAGATCTGGCTACTGGGAAACACATCTACTTTATGTAAAGTAAAAGGACACAAGTGCAACTAATGTGACTTTTTATTGTGGCAATGTTTTGCTCTCCAGTAAACCCTGCCATCACATAGTCTCTCCTCCTAATACTACACAAGCACATTACAGAGGATGAACTTTGAAACAGGCCTTCCCTACTCCAGCCTCCAAGAGAAATATTTGTCTAACCTATTTTTATGTTACCCAAGTAATAGCTTTTATATACTTTTACTCATGTGCAAGTTAATTGTTCTACCATATTGTATTACTACTACTACTACAACTTATATCACTACTACTACGTACTACCACTAGTATTGCACCTCACTCTATGCCTATATATACCCTCTGTGTCCATGTACTGTTTGTAACGGCTTGACAAAGCTCCTGGAGAGTGAAACGTTGCCAAAATAAAATGCCACATTAGTTGCGCTTGTCCTTTTACTTTACATATTGTTGGTAATTCTACCAAAATATATATAATCTACTTTATGTACAATATAGGGGCATACTTTTGCAAAAAAAAAATCCTTATTTTTGTGAAACCTTTGGAGATTGAAAGTAGTGCTCTGAAGCACTGACTTTTGTCTAGAGTGGGAGAATAAAAAAAAGAATCACAACACTGTATCTGGAACAATTCTAAGCAAATACAGTTTGGAGACTAATTTTTTAGACAGTTTCAGCCCAGAATGGGGTGAAATGGGACTTGATAATGGTCCATTACTGATGGAAACGCAAAGTTCTGTATCCAAATTGAGCGCTAGCACATGTTTATTTACTAATCCTTTCTAAGCATATTTTTTGTATTTTAAAAATTACAGGAAATAAGAATATGAAATTCACTCTGGCACCTGTGGCTGAAGAGCTCAAGACATTGCTTGGCTGCGATGTAACATTCCTCCCTGATTGTGTGGGATCAGAGGTTGAGGCAGCCTGTGCTGATCCTGCTCCTGGCTCTGTCATCCTCCTTGAAAATTTAAGATTTCACGTTGAGGAGGAAGGCAAGGGTGTTGATGCATCTGGAGCAAAGGTATGCAAGTGTATAAAGATGGTTTGTGTGTTGCATCCATATTATGTATTGCTTATAATAGAACAAGCTTTGAATGAGAAAGTACTTCACTCGTGTAAGCTTTAGACTGAATGAGAAGTTGTCTCGATAAAGGCTTGCTCTGCAACCTGTCTTTTCTTTTGGGCATTGATACTGTATTGCAGCTTTCTATTTCAATTTTGGTCTAATAAACTTGATAGTTTTTTTTTTTTTTTAACATATCACCATGCATGTATTTGGAAGGCTAATTTTATATTTGGCATTATGAATTTCTTTTTTTCTTGACTGAAGCATGTGATTGTGCAATTTGTTTATATTTACTCCCAGATCAGTTTATTGGATGTTAACAGTATAGTATCTTATAGTTGATATTGCTCATGATATTTCTCCAAAGAATGTGCCTTCATGCTGGTGAAGGGTTCTTAATCAGTGAAATTAGAAATACCCATTTCTTTCAAACCAGATTATCCCCCAGTCCCCAAGCACTATGTCCTCTGTGGATATAGGACTTTCCCCATAAAATTTGCCATAATATTTCATGTGTGTTTCTCTTTTTCATTTCCATTATTTACCTCTTCTTCTTTCAACAAACTGGCTATATCTCACCAAAGCAGTGTGGCCCAGAAAGAAAAACAAAAGTTTCTCTTTTTGACTTGAGTAATGTATAAAGGAGAAGGGGTCGCTAGCCCCTTGCTCCCGGCATTTTAGTCACCTCTTACAACACGTATGGCTTGCGGAGGAAGAATTCTGTTCCATTTCCCCATGGAGATAAGAGGAAATAAATAAGTACAAGAACTAATAAGAAAATAGAAGAAAACCCAGAGGGGTGTGTGTATATGCCTGTACATGCATGTGTAGTGTGGCCTAATTGTAAGTAGAAGTAGCAAGACGTACCTGAAATCTTGCATGTTTATGAGACAGGAAAGACACACCAGCAATCCTTCCATCATGTAAAACAAAAAAAGGTTTCGTTTTACACTCACTCGGCAGGACGGTAGTACCTCTGTGGGCGGTTGCTATCTACCAACCTATTACCTAGGTTTTTACCACTTGTCATCATTAAATTCTATGATCTACCTTTCACTGGCCAAACTTACCAGTCTCTCTTGTAAGAATTTACAATTACAATATTCGACAAATTTTGCAAATAATGTTTACAAAATCCACATATATTCAATTGTGATTTATGTCTGCAAACTATTTATATGAATTAAAATATTAATTTCTGAACCATAATTCATGCCACTGGTAACATATCCTTTTGAGGATACATTTGTCTTTGCAATTTTGTTTTTAGCAAAAAAAAAAAAAAAATCTTTCATCCATTGTATGGATATCCTTTTATTCTACCTAAATTTTGTGTTTTCCAGTTAATCTTTCATGAGATACTTTATCAAAATAATGTTTGAGATACAAGTTTTTCACCCCCTTTGCCATTTTAATGAAACACTGTTAACACAAACAAATATATGGAACAAATATATATACATATATATATGTTTTGCATTATCAAATTCTAGGTCAAAGCTGATCCTGCAAAGGTTGCCAAGTTCCGTGCATCCTTACGTAAACTTGGCGATGTGTATGTTAATGATGCTTTTGGTACTGCCCATCGCGCTCACTCTTCTATGGTTGGTGAAGGCTTTGAACAGCGAGCATCAGGTTTCTTGCTGAAGAAAGAACTCACATACTTTGCTAAAGCTTTGGAGAATCCTGAAAGGTGAATTTGACTTTTTTTTTTTTTTTTTTTTTTTAGATGTCCTAGTGAGTGCTATTGACAAGTAATAATTTCTTTCTAGATGAAAAGTATCTCAATTTCATACCCCGAATAAATATTAGACAGATTTTTGCAATTTTTTTTTTTTTTTTTTATTCGCCGATTTTGCAATTCAAGTTGAAATGTGGTTCAGAAATAGCTTAAGTGCAGTAAGGGAAAAGAAATTTATTATACAGTGGACCCCCGGTTTACAATATTATTTCATTCAGAAGTATGTTCAGGTGCCAGTACTGAACGAATTTGTTCCCATAAGGAATATTGTGAATTAGATTAGTCCATTTCAGACCCCCAAACATACACATACAAACGCACTTACATAAATACACTTACATAATTGGTCGCATTGGAAGCTGATCGTAAAGCGGGGGTCCACTGTATTTGATAAATGTTATTTTTTGTAATGTCTTATGACCCGTTATAATACACTTGGTTTCTTTTGCTGAAGGTCTTAGTTTACATGTACAATGGTGTTGATAAATTTTCAAAAATGTCCTTGAAATAATTTTTTTTTTTTTTTTTTTTTTTTTTTTTTTTTTTTTTTTTTTTTTTTAGACCATTCTTGGCAATCCTGGGAGGAGCAAAGGTCAAAGACAAAATTCAGCTGATTGAAAACTTGCTGGACCGTGTAGATGAGATGATGATTGTTGGAGGCATGGCTTTCACATTCCTCAAGGTTTTAAAGAATATGGAGGTTAGTTGCTGATGTACATCTTAATCTTATTTTAATGCTTTTATTTTGATTCCTGCACAGTATAACAAACTGACTTTTCACTCTTATCTTGAATATTATATTGATGGGAGAGATTCTTGGACCTAACCTGCTGTTTCACAGGTGTGAATTGTGCCTCTCTTGAGATAGTTTGGTAATTTAAACAAGATAGGCTAAGATAATTTAACCAAGAGGGTGTATAGATAAAGTACTTATATCTCAATACTTCCCACACATCCACCTCAAACTCTTCCTGAGACTTTCTTATGCCAGTGTCCATTCACCCCGGATATACACTCCTTGATCAATCTTTCTCGGTATATTTCTAAATGACCAGACATCTACAACCCTTCTGCTGCATCCTTAATTATGCATAAAAATTTTCAGATTTTTATGAATCCTTGGTGTAACTAGTTAATATTTTTTATTTTGTGTGTAAGGTAACATTTTATGAAGAGATTCAAGGAAATTGGTTATTGGACTTGAGTCCTGGAGGTTGAGGTACAGTTCCTGCACTCTGAAGGGGGGGTGGGGATATTTGCAGTTTGGAGGTGCATCTGAAGTGGTGGTCGGCATGCCTCTGGCAAGACGGTGGAGTGAATGATGGTGAAAATTTTTCTTTTTTGGATCACCCTTTGTTGGGGAGACAGTTGGTGTGTGGGAATTGTCACAGTTGCTCTTTTGGTAAATTCTGATAAGATGTTAGAAAGGTTGGGGAAAGAATTTAGGAGGGGATGTAAAAGAAGGAAATTAAAAGTGAACATAGGAAAGAGTGAGGTGATAAGAGAAGCAAAAAATATAGGCAACAGAAGATTGGATATTAGTGGAGTGAGGGAATTTTTAAGATGTGAAAATTTAAGAGGGTGTTGGGAAAAATAAAATTAAAAATTGGAAATTGGGTCTCTGAAAGAGAATAACCATAGAAAAAAAAAGAAGGTTTTTGGGGGGAAAGAAATACCCTTGGTGCAAATTGGGAAAATTCTGGACGAGTAACTTACCATAAAAGAAAAAAAAAGAAATGTATTTAATTAAAAACAATAAAAAGGGTTTTCAGGATACATTTTGGGCATTTTATATATTTTTTTTTTTTTTTTTTAGAAAAAAAGGGCAATGATAAAATGTTATGTGACACTTCAGAGTTTATCTTCAAATAAATCAGTAAAAACTGCATTTTTGTGTAGAATTTTTTTTAGGAGGTTGAGGTGAATAGTAATTATAAAATGAATTGAGAGTCTTGTCATGTCATGAATGCAGTACATTGAGCATCAGATATTTGCAAAGTGGCTGACTCAGTTTTGCTGTGTCATTGCAGTAGCAAGAATGCCAGTTCTGTCATCCAGTATTCGCAGGAATCATGGTTTGCCATATTTAACTTTTCAGACAAAATTGGGAAATAACCTTAACTAGAAAAGTTTTTCCCATTTCAGATTGGCACATCCCTGTATGATGCAGAAGGTGCTAAAATCGTAGAGAAGCTCATGGCCAAGGCAGAGCAAAGGAATGTGAAGATGCACTTCCCAGTAGATTTCATTACTGGTGACAAATTTGATGAAAATGCTAATGTAAGTAATAATTTATTTTCTCTCTTCTGTTTGCTTTTCTTATTTGTATCTTGTCATAATTCTTAAATTGTTAACTGTATCTATACAGCATTGATACAATAATATATTCTCTTGCAAGAGAGTGAGTGAGAGCAAGAGCACACTTCTCCAAGTTGAGGGACTGACTACCTCAAAGTATTTCTGCAAGGCTGATGGACTGACACATCTTACATCCCTACTGCTTTTACTGTGGCCATATTTAGTCACCTCTATATTCAGCTGAAGAAACCTACTGTGTAGGGAAATCACTTTGGAAATCAAGATGGCAAACTGTTGAACATCTTGCTTGTCTACTCATCAGTTGTACATTATTATATTGATAAGGGAAGAGACTGGTTGAACTATAGGTCTGTCTGTCAAGCATTGTTTATACAACAATGAAAAGCCATAAATGAAACGTTCATAAAACATTTTGAGTCCAAAATCCTGCTCTCCATCAGTTTTATATCTTCAAAATCCAGGTTATCAAATCTAGTAGGCTAATGTATGATGATAGTAATGGAGATTGTTAAAGAAAGAAATGGATGGGTAGATTTCATTTATTTTATTAGAATTTGTTTAGGTGTTCCTTTGTATGTTGTAACACATTTCTAAACCTGAATTGGGCATACTTATTTTCAGTCTGGCACTGCTTCAGCTGAGGCTGGTATTCCTGCAGAATGGATGGGACTAGATTGTGGTCCTGCATCTGTTGAATCTTTTAAAGAACCAATCTCCAGGGCCAAGATTATTGTGTGGAATGGGTAAGACTTGAGGTGTATGGCTTTTCTCTTGTCACTGTAAGGAATAGAGTATGCTCAGTATTGATAATTTCATAGCTGCCTTCTTTACCAAAGTGGGTAATTATCTTCGATATTTGTTTCTTAAGATAAAGTAGCAGCCTTAATAACCATTGCTGGATTAAGAGTTGTGGGGGCACCTGGCAAGCAACTTCAAGGCAGGCCTCTGCTACTTTAGCTTCATGGATTACATAATGGTCTTATTATATAATGTATCAACCAGCTTTCTTTTATTTTCCTCCCCACAGATATGAACTTGTTTGAAAAGCAGAATAAATGTGTATGTAAAGTTTAATGTAGTTCTCCCAGAATCCTGCTTTGTGTGGAGCTCTGGGGTTTATGCCCCAGTTACTCTTAATCTGGCTCACTTTTGAAGTAGTGAATGTAGTACTCTGCTACATTCTTTAATACAGTGTGTTAGATGTGTAGTTACGTTCAGTACTCTATTACAGTATATTTTAGGATTACGGATTAAAATGTAGTTAATTGTCATAATAATGTGTGATTTTTAGATAATAGTATACTGAAATAATAAATTCTGCTTTGGCAGAAATCTCATACTAACAGTAATCTAGATGTCATGTATAATAGACTTCTGTACTTGATTGAATAGACCAACATACTATATGCTCTTACGTCATTGCTTATATTTTAATAGAAAACTTATGAGACACTCCAGAGCTTCAAGCAGTAGATTAGTGTCAACTGTTTTGGATAAGCAACAGTAGAAATTAGTTAAAAAATAAAAAAGTGATCAGACTATTCAGTGGTGTCCACAAGGCTGATAGCATATACTTGAATTTACCTGTCATGGCATATTTCTACCAGAAGTGGGCTGTTAACATATAATAAACCTACAGAAAGAGAATCTGTTGTCCTAATACAATTCAGTATTCTGTACCATACAGTAAAAAAAAATGCCTTATAGTATAAGCATACTCCGCTTAACACTGGGATTGCATTCTTGAATGCCAATTTTAGGTGAGATGGTGTTCAGGCATGGAAGGTCTCATGATATTTATCCCCCTAAATCTCTTATCTGTGTAAGCATGAAATTATTTGACCATAACCATACAATTCAAGTTCTTTGCACGGTAGATAGATAAGACTTGAATACCTTAAAAATAACCTATAGATGCACGTTATGGCTTGGTGGAAAATGTGTGAATAGAGGAATGGCAACGCATTACCACTGTCATGTGCAAGGAAGGTAGGTTAGCAATAGCAAATGAAGATATGGAGCACTGAGTAGCCGTCTTCCATTTTTGTCAGTTTTTTAGTAAATGTTTCAAGAGGATGGCTACACTTAACATGTCCAGTATGTATTAAAATTGACTTGCGTATTTTAACCCGTAAACGGTCCAAACATATATATACGTTTTTTCAACATTTGAAAGTATGTAAAAAAACATCATCTTTTTGTTTTTTTACATTTGAAAATGTGTAAAAAAAACTTTGATCTACTTTTTTTTTTTTTTTTTTTTTTTTTTTTTTTTTTTTTTTAAAATGTGAAAAAAAACGTAGATCTACTTTTGTAGCACTACACATGTGAACTTAGATCTGCTTGGACCGTTTACAGGTTAAGCTGGTACAAAGAATTCAATAATCCTGAGAAATTATTATTTGCTGATCCATTTCTTACCTCAGCTTATTTGCAACCTAATCCAGGTATTGTTAACCCTAGATTGCTAGCTACCAGTCAAGGGTAGCTCCAGAAGTTTTATGTGGAAAGGGCTTTGGGGTGGCTGTCTGGTTGGAAGAGGGGGCTTAGCTTAAAGCAGTGTTGTTATGATTTGGGGAATTTGGTGGGGACTGGTGGAATTTGGGAAAAGTTTCGGCTCTCATATTTATCCCTCCTTCCTTGGTGCTACCCCTGCTACAAGTGGATTTGCATTCTGGTTGCTCATGAGTCAGAGGCTATAGGCACTTCTTGAAGGTGTTCTACCTTATCCAGTATTTGAAGTAATGGATAAAAATTTTCTAGGTAGGCATGTTAGTTCCCAATTATCAATATTTTTGTATAAATATTTTTTACAGACCGTGTGGTGTGTTTGAGTTTGAAAAATTTGCAAGTGGAACGAAAAGCGTTATGGACATGGTGGTAGAAGCCACAAAAGCTGGTTGTACCACAATTATTGGAGGAGGAGATACTGCAACATGCTGTGCTAAGTGGGGGACAGAAGATAAGGTTTCACATGTATCGACTGGAGGTGGTGCCTCTCTTGAGCTTCTTGAAGGTAAGTTGGTGCACTGGAAATTTTTAAAAAAGTTTCCCACACTTCCTTGTTACCTACAGAGGGTAACCTAAGAAAGAAACACATTTGCCATCTTTTATCAATAGCTGCTGAACAACATCCCCATCCTTCTTTCAGAGTACAGGCACTACTTCCCACCTCCAGGACTCGGTCCAGCAGACCGGTTTCACTTAATCTCTTCATAAATGCTACCTTCCTCGCACTCCGGCAATGCAGTGTTTAATGTATAATTTATTCAGTTTACTTAATAAATGTCTGTAAACTGATGATTTTGCAATTTTGGAAAAAGATGCAGATCATCAATCCAGAATTTGCACCAGTCCTTGAAGAGCTTGATTTGTACTTAGAGCCATAACCAATGCAAATAATGCTCTTTCATCAATTGGTATCGAAATATGTGAGGATAGCAGGAAAGCCTTCCTCTCTCTCTCTCTCTCCATAAGATGCATTCGTCAACTTTTCGATGAATCTTTCACCATCATCAGGATCTGTAAAATTACCCCAAACGCTTGTACAAAATGTGAATGATAAATTGTGAACAGATAGTAAAAAAGGTTAAAAATAGACAAAAGCTAGAGACGTACAACAGTTGAACAGAAATTGACCCACCCAGCTGCATCTGTCAGGCTGAGGTCAACAAGAGAAAACTCCTGCAGGGAGGCAACTATTTTAATATAGACATAGGAACTACGAAAGTGTAATCATTAAGCTCCCTAATAGATAAACTTTCTGAAATTCTCAAATTCAATTTATCCCATGCTCTAGCTATAATTTTAAAGTCATTGATACTTAATAAATGATCTTTAGTTTCAGAATGTAGTCATACAGCTGAAAAAATGGGTTTAGCTAATTTAGTAATGGTCCTGATGTTGGTGATTGATTTACTGAAACATTGATAATGTATGTATATTGTGGAAAAAGACTTGCTTACCACCCATACACATTAGGCTAGAACATATGTAGATAGTGAAACATATAAGTGAACAGTATTTAGATAAGGCTAAAGAGGTCTTTGTGGCATTTATGGATTTGGAAAAGGCGTATGACAGGGTGGATAGGGGGGCAATGTGGCAGATGTTGCAAGTATATGGTGTAGGAGGTAGGTTACTGAAAGCAGCGAAGAGTTTTTACGAGGATAGTGAGGCTCAAGTTAGAGTATGTAGGAAAGAGGGAAATTATTTCCCAGTAAAAGTAGGCCTTAGACAAGTATGTGTGATGTCACGTGGTTGTTTAATATATTTAAAAGATGGGTTTTTAAGAGAAGTAAATGCAAGGGTCTTGACAAGAGGCATGGAGTTAAAAGATAAAGAATCACACACAAATTGGAGTTGTCACAGCTGCTCTTTGCTATGACACTGTGCTCTTGGGAGATTCTGAAGAGAAGTTGCAGAGATTGGTGGATGAATTTGGTAGGGTGTGCAAAAGAAGAAAATTTAAAGGTGAATACTGGAAAGAGTAAGGTTATGAGGATAACAAGATTAGGTGATGAAAGATTGAATATCAGATTGGAGGGAGAGAGTATGGAGGAGGTGAATGTATTCAGATATTGGGAGTGGACGTGTCAGCGGATGGGTCTATGAAAGATGAGGTGAATCATAGAATGATGAGGGAAAAAGAGTGAGTGGTGCACTTAGGAGTCTGTGGAGACAAAGAACTTTGTCCTTGGAGGCAAAGAGGGAATGTATGAGAGTATAGTTTTACCAACGCTTTTATATGGGTGTGAAGCATGGGTGATGAATGTTGCAGCGAGGAGAAGGCTGGAGGCAGTGGAATGTCATGTCTGAGGGCAATGTGTGGTGTGAATATAATGCAGAGAATTCGTAGTATTGGAAGTTAGGAGGAGGTGCAGGATTACCAAAACTGTTGTCCAGAGCGCTGAGGAAGGGTTGTTGAGGTGGTTCGGACATGTAGATAGAATGGAGCGAACAGAATGACTTCGAGTGTATCAGTCTGTAGTGGAAGGAAGGCGGGTAGGGGTCGGCCTAGGAAAGGTTGGAGAAGAGGGGGTAAAGGAGGTTTTGTGTGCGAGGGGGCTTGGACTTCCAGCAGGTATGCATGAGCGTGTTTGATAGGAGTGAATGGAGACAAATGGTTTTTAATACTTGACGTGCTGTTGGAATGTGAGCAAAGTAACATTTATGAAGGGGTTCAGGGAAACCGGCAGGCCGGACTTGAGTCCTGGAGATGGGAAGTGCAGTGCCTGCACTCTGAAGGAGGGGTGTTAATGTTGCAGTTTAAAAACTGTAGTGTAAAGCACCCTTCTGGCAAGACAGTGATGGAGTGAATGGGTGAAAGTTTTTCTTTTTCGGGCCACCCTGCCTTGGTGGGAATCGGCCAGTGTGATAATAAAAAAAAATAAAATAATATATGTAGATAGATCTACGCATGAATCATAGTGCCCTCAGGTATGCTGCGAGCTGCAAATTTTGGCTTATAGATGAGAGAAAGTCTGTGTGGTTAGTGTGTACATACAATGTAAAAAAAAAAAAATCCTCCCTCACATGGTACAAGATGGGAACTTAAAACCATTTGACCTTGTGTTTGGGCTAAAATAGTAATTCTGAGGCTTTTGTTTGGGTGATTTTCATGGTTTATTGGCTGTTTCTCAATGCCACATGATAATTAGATAACACTAGTGAAATGGAGATGAATATGGTCAGTTTCGTACTAGAAGCAACTTAAAATAGACCTCGAAGTGGCGGAAATATTTAAGTTTTGGCAATTTTTCCGAGGAAATGGTAGGGGTCCCCTCCTTTTTCAGTTCTGTTTTTTGGTTTTTACTAGGTCTGCTTCAATCATTGGGATGTCATAAACTTTGACCAAGCAATCTTGGTTATGGTTTATTGGCCAAGAAATAGGAAGGAAAAGAAAGCTTATTTTTTGTGTGCGATTTATTGAAAATTGAGGGCAAAAGTTATTTAGAAGAGGCCTGGGGATGTGATTAATGAACAGAGTATAGGTTTAATTAGTGACTGGAATGCCTATGATGCTTTGGACTGTTTTTAAATTGAAATATATGTAATATAGTGTAAAATGTGCCAAATTACCAAATTTGGGGGCATAGTTCTGATAGTTGAGTATGCAGTTTTTTGCAGTTGAATGATAATATAGAAGGCATACTAATAATATAGCTGGAAATTGGGTTGGTTTGATAACTGGAATTAGCTTAACCCTTTCACTCTCCAAATCCCCCCCCCCCCCCCCCCCAAAAAAAAAAAAAAAAAAAAATTAATATTCCTGTGTTCGCTTTTTAAATTCTTCCAAAATGGCAACAAATATTTCAGGGGGTAATGACACCAGAATTATGAAAATTGATGGAAGAGGAGTGGAGATGAGATAAATGGCATGTTGGAGATCATGTTCAATGTGAATTCTGTATTAGAAGTGGAGGAGGGTTATGAAAGGTATAATTTAGAAGGCAGAAGTAAGGTTAAAATGATTTGGTCACTTAGGATAACAGAATTAGTTGATCAAGAGTGAGTAAATCCAGGGTAGACAGGAGTGGTAGAGGTTGTTTCAGGAAGTGGGGTAGGAGAGGGGTAAAGGAGGTATGTGTGAGGATGTTAGATTTGACTGAAGACAAATGGTTTTGTCCCATTCCCAAGTCCAGTTACCCAGACTTGGACCTGGGAAGTATAGGGCCTGCAAACTGAAGGATGGGCTTGAATGTTGAGGTGCAGAGGGTTATTTGAATTGATGTTTGTACACTTCTGGAGGAACAGCATTGAAAATTTATGAAAAACTCTTAGTAGACATTAATCTTTCCTCCTTACTTCCATCAGTAGTTCTTATGTGCAATATAAGGCAGTGTTATCAGACAGGAAATTTATGATAATGAAAAAAAGAAGTTACAGGCTCCCTTTGTTTCATGTGGACTTCATGCGAATTCAGTATTATGCAGCCCCATTTCTATTGGTAATTCCACACGTGTGATACACATTCGCTCCGTGATCGGTGCAGTTCATAAAACATATTGAAGAGTCTTATGATGCGGAATTAAATGTCAATGGCCTGATTGAGTATACTGTACAGCTGGCATGGGCCTGGAGTGCATCTAAATTGTAAAGTGGGGGAAATCTATATTTGTAATTCAGTATTCTAGTATAAATTACCTTTTGCATATTTATTTAATTTATACTTCATATTTGTATTTAATGTGTACTACTTTTCTTTGCAGGAAAAACACTTCCAGAGTTTGCTGCTCTTTCAGATGCTTAAATTTTCCATTTACATCAGTGGCTCTCTCCTGCCAATGGCATGGGGTGACCCAAAGAAGGCATGCTTAAATTATATCAATAATAGAATGTGTCTGAACCAGTGAAGCATTATCCAGACCTTTTAAAGACAAACATTTTATAATATGATCAAAACTTGTATGTCAACAGAAAGTACTGACAAAGCTTAGTAGATTTCACTGACATGTGATGTAAAACATACTAACTTAAGTGACAGTTACACAAAATTTTGCAAATGAAAAATTATTGACTTAGGATTACTAGTCATAAAATTGCAAGTTTAAAATCTGAGCTGAATAACCTTAGATCAGTTAATTACTTAAAAAATAATTGTTCATATTTTAGAGCATTTATTTAAATTAAGAATGGAATATGGATCTTTGTGTTAATATAATATATGCAAATATAATACTTGAACCAACTGACTCTTTCATTACTGCATGACAAGTCCAGTTTTCTCTGCAGGTGTCTAGGCTTTTATATATTTTGCATTAATAAAAGGAAATCATGTTCTGTGGGTGTGAAAACAGTACATTGCTGTTATGAAAATCTCCCATCATTCTTGTCAACTGGTAGCAGACCTCTTCAAGGGGGCTCCTTGGCGTGTGAAGAGGCTCTTGGTCTGAGGAATTACCCGTCGGTCTTCTTCCCCAACCCAACCTAATTAACCCCCCCTTTTTTTCCCCCCCCTT